GAGATCAGACAGAAGGAAACACAAAGCGAGTAGCTGGAACTTAGTAAGTATGCCCCAGTACCAATCTCTTTGCGATTGTTTTATGACATTTTCTTTAACTGGTTTGGGTTTTGATTTTGATATGTTGCAGTGGCTACATGGCTCCAGAATATGCAGCGGATGGTCTTTTTTCTGTGAAATCTGATGTTTTCAGTTTTGGTATTTTGCTGCTGGAGATTATAAGTGGAACGAGAAATAGAGGTTTCTATCTTGAAAACAAATATCCTAACCTTGTAACTCATGTAAGTATGTCTCAATTTATTCATTTGCTTGAAACATCGGCCTTTTGGAGAATATAATATCTTTAGGAATCAAAACCATTTTTAAGCTTTTCAAATTTAGGTGTGTTATGGAAACTTGTGACATAAATTTTCTTATTCCATGGTTCAGGCATGGAGTCTATGGAAAGAGGGTAGGGCTTTAGAAATGATTGACTCAAGCATAGAGGACTCATGTGATTTATCAGAGGTTTTGCGTTGCATCCATGTCAGTCTCTTATGTGTCCAACAATATGCAGAGGATAGACCTGTGATGTCTGGTGTGGTTCTAATGTTGGGGAGTGAGAGTGAATTGGCTGAGCCAAAAGAACCTGGTTTCTATATAAAGAATGATCATGTTGCAACAACTTCTATCTCAGGTCGAACTGTCTCAACCAATGAAATAACAATCACATTATTAGAAGCTAGATGAAAACTCAGAAACTATAACCAAATTACTGCATTGGCCATGTGACATTGTCTATATTATGTCACAACCAGTCATATAATATATTATGTTTTGTAACATTGATTAGGTTGTTTTTTTATTCTTTTTTAATATAAACACTCTTATTTTATATTTTTCATCTAATTTTTACTTTCTATTCTTTCTTGAGTACTTTCTATACCTCTATTTTTCTTCATCTCAACAAAACAGATCTTACATATGATCTCAATCAATCTTTCACGTAACATGTAACTGAATTTTCCATACAACTATTATGGACATGGAGAATGTAATGAAAAAGAGAATAATGCGAGGATTTTGCCATAGGTAGTAATAACAAATGATACAAAGAGAAAAAAAAAATTGTATGCTTTTATCATTCATTAGCGTTTTACATTGAAAATTATATTATTTCAATCAAATTAGTCACATTTACTTATAAAGTTTCTAATATTTTTATCATTTTTCTATTAATTTTTTAATTACTTCCTCTTCAAATGATTTTTAATCTCATCACCATCGTATCAGCAAACAAGCATCAATGAGGAGAACTAAGCCTACGCGGAAGCAACGTGGTCCCTTTGTCACGTTCTACAAAGTACAAATCCAAAAGTGTAGTACTAAGTGGAATGACAAAATTGACCACTTCATATTTTATATATCCATTTCTTGGCTGCGCACAGCCCCCACCTCTTCCTTATTGCAATTGCATCCTTCACTTTCACACATCAAAATCTATAATTTAATTACTTTCATGTGCCCAACACATATTTCAAAAATAAATATAAACTATACTTTACAGTTTAATTAAATATTTAATATTACTGTCTTTTTAATCTTAAATTCTTCTAATTCCTGGTTAACCCGTGTAAAGTCATATCAACATATTTTTATATTTATAATACGGACTTTATTTTCAATATTTATGAAAAATCAACTTCAGTTAAAAAACTAGCGATGAATTATTTTAATTATATTTATTATTAATTCTTATATTACATCTTACAATATTTCAATTTAAATTTAATAAAATAAAGTAAAAATAATGTATGTTTAAATAGATATAAGATGTTTAGACAATATCTTTATTATTGTTAATAAATTTATTAATTTCTTTTAATAAAATTTTATCATTTAATTTTTTTCTTTATTTAAAATCACTCATAATTTGGTGATTACAGTACAATATTAAAAGCTTCCAAAATTGAAAGTTTGTAGAGAGCATTTCAATAATTTAATTAATTGCAGTTCGTGGTGAGCGAGCGTGGCGTGACGCCACCCTATCATCATTATCATCCACCGTTTCGTGGCAACGGCGTCGTTCTATTCCCAAACAAACAAAATAAAAAATTAAACCTGAATCTCGAAATAAGAGACTGGATAAAAAGTCAAGCCACCTTTCGCATAATTAAATCTTCAATTCAACTATAAATACGGTTAGCACTTCCCGCTATTATGCAAATTGATCCAATTCACAACTTTTCATTGTTAAGCCCTTCAATAAACACCCAAGTTTAGCCATTTTAGAACATCATCATCAATGGCAGTTCAAGTTTACATTGTGTATGCATTTTTCTATATTTATTCACATCAAATGAAATTTTTTAATCTTTATTCGATAATTCAAATTTACCGTTACTCTAATTTAACAGGTACTACTCAATGTACGGCCATGTGGAAAGACTAGCAGAAGAAATAAAGAAAGGAGCTGATTCTGTTGAAGGCGTTGAGGCCAAACTATGGCAGGCACGTATAGTTATCTTTAATTCAATTGGTTGATTGAAGTAGCACTTCAGTTGCTAATCCTATCTATTCAATTTATGAATGCATAAAATTGCAATCACTGAACAAGGTTAATTCCAGAGCTTGGTTCATTTTTTTTTCTTTCCTTTTAGGACAATACACTTAGGAATTTTATAGGGGGTGCAGTATTAGGTAGTTATGGTGATTGGTTTCAATATCAATTTTGATTTCATTGTGACCTTATTTTCCAATGGTTCATGACCACTCAGAACCTTTTTATGCCTCAATCTCTGTTATTCCAAAGATGTTGAAGTTGATAGAATTTGCTCGGTTGACTTGATGAACATGTACATGAGCAGGTACCTGAGGCATTGGCAGATGAGGTGCTTGGTAAAATGAGAGCACCACCTAAGAGTGATGTACCAATCATTACCCCCAATGAGCTCTCTGAGGCTGATGGTTTTGTATTTGGCTTCCCCACAAGATTCGGAATGATGGCTGCACAGTTCAAAGCATTTCTGGATGCAACTGGAGGTTTGTGGAAAACACAGCAGCTTGCAGGGAAGCCTGCTGGAATCTTCTACAGCACCAGCTCCCAAGGTGGTGGACAAGAGACTACAGCGTAAGACATACTTTCTTAATCAATTTTCTAACATTAGTGATGAGATCTTATAGAATATTAATGTTCAGAAACTGTGGAATATTGTATCGCAGACTTACTGCCATAACTCAGCTGGTTCATCATGGAATGCTATTTGTTCCAATTGGATACACATTTGGTGCTGGAATGTTTGAGATGGAGGAGCTCAAAGGAGGAAGTCCCTATGGTTCGGGAACTTATGCTGGTGATGGTTCAAGACAGCCAACTAAGCTTGAACTGGAGCAAGCATTCCACCAAGGCAAGTATATTGCCAGCATCACCAAGAAGCTCAAGGAAGCTGCATAATGTCGAGTCACTATTAAAGGATGTTTAAGAATCATTCATTATATTTGAGTCCTACAATGTTTTGAATTCTGTTTTTATGTGCTAGCATGTTATAGTTTTTTTATTTCAAAAAGAAATTACCTTTTATTGAGTTCTGTTTTTTATGTTATAAGATGTAATGGTTAATGAAATTTGTTGAATAAAGGAAGTACGTTTTTGTCTGGTCCTTTACTGTATTCTAATTTTTGTTAATGGAGAAAACTCAAACTATTTGGTATATATTATAGTATTATTTCTTATGTAAATTTACTGGATAATTCATGTAACAAAAGTTTAAACTCATTCCAATTTGAACTATAAAAGAAACAGAACAAAGATGCCTCTAAGGTTTATCCCTGCAAATTATATACCAAATGTCAATAATCAAGCACAATGCATTGCAGAGACGTGTTCAAAGGAACATCTATAAAAAGTCTACACAGACAATACACCCATCACATGATTGTAACCATGCAAGAAAATATTTCAAAATTACTTTCTTACACGTAACACAGCCTGCTAATTTTGAACAAATTAATATGCAAATAAATCTGCATGCAGAAGATCCCTTAATTTGTTTACATTCAAACTAACGGCTTCCGCACGTTCAACGATTCAACAGTGTTACTTTATGAGGTTTTTCTATTTTTCTCGGATAGAATATAGACAATACACTCCCTCCTCTCTTAAGAATATTTGGATATTATTTATAGTGTGATGCGATCAAGTTTCATAATTTTTTTTACAACTTATAAACTTTTTTGATCGGGACAAACGTAAAATACATTCAAAATCGTAAACCTTAAATCTTAAATTATTTAGTCCAATGACTAAACCAAACTAATGAAAAAAATAAATCTAACCCAACTCAATTTAATCAAATTTGCCTCTTCCAAATTCTGTAAATCTCTTGCGCAATCTTCTATCAATTAACTGTGAGTCTTTGGTTGGTATAATTGGAAAGAGAGAGAGAGAGAGAGGAGAGGAAAGAAAATAATAAAAACAGTGGAAATAGATTCTTCGGAAGAGTGAAAAAGAAAAAAAAAAAAAAACTAAAAACTTCATGAGAACCATACCATATTTCACAGTTCATTCACTGCATTCAGATGATGTGCGCATAAAGTCACATGAAAATACTCCAATATTCATAGGACAGCATATTCAATACTCCAATACCACCAACAAAACATATATAAATAAATAAAAAATGCTTTTTTTTTCTGAAAAGTGACTAATAATCAATTTGGTTGGCAACATGCAAATATTGAATTGGAAAATTTTAATTCCACAACCGTAGCTAAAATCCAAATTAGAACTGTATTGACTGGGGTCAAATCTGAAAAAAAGTCTTTAATTGGGTTTCGAATTTCTACACAAGGCACAATTGTAAATTTAACGGAGTTTATCAAGAAATTATCAACTAATTAAAAAAAAAAAAAAAAAAAAAAAAAGGCGTACAAAATATAAAGCTTGCGCTTCCCGTCATTTCCCAGTCTGCAAATTAACCGTTCATTTCACCTAGCTAAGAATTCTAGTTCCAGCGAGAGAGATGGAGAAAAACAAGGAAGTTGAAGCATCCACAGTGGCTGCCAAAGTTTGCATTGTGTATGCCACAATTGCTTTCTTTTCTTGAAAAAAATGAAAGAAACTTGTTGTACTTTCTGTTTTCTTGCGATATTTTTCTGGTTTTCATTGTCTTAGTTGGTAGTGTTGTATCTGCTATTGTGCCTCTCAATATGAATTATTTTACACTGGGTTTCTTCCACTTCTTCAATGGGTTCTTAAATTTGAATTCTTCCAAATTTTCATATTCTTTGAATGTCTTGGAGTCACACTACCTTGGATTCTGCGCATTCTTGATTTGACTCTTTTTCTTTCATGCTCTAAAATAAGATATTGGTTTGTTGTTTTACATTTCCTTATCCTTATGTAATTTGCTTCTTGAATATTCTTTTGCTTCATTTTGATTTTATATTTACATTAACAGTATTAAAATGTTCAAACTATGATCATCTATGGCTAAATTGTAACCACTGTTTTGTGATCTGCATTTCCTATCTCATTTGTATTGTCCACAACAGCGTCACCTTTTTATTTACAAATGACAAATTTTCAATTTCATTGACAGGTACTACTCAATGAGTGGGCACGTGGAAAAACTTGCTCGAAAAATAAAGGAAGGAGCGGATTCTGTGAATGGGGTTGAGTCACAACTATGGCAGGCATGTAAATTTCAGTTTTACTGTCTCACAGTTGCTAATCCTTTTTTATATATGCATGAATTCCATATCTGCCAATGGCATGTTACCTTTGCAAATTACTTTTATGGTCCTAATGTTCTTTCAAACCAACCTATGCACTAACTAGAAGGATGGTTCTAATGTTTGCCCAATGGTCCTAATATCTTTCCTTGATGACTTAACTGAACATATATATATATATATATATATATATATATAATATAAGCAGGTACCTGAGACACTGTCAAATGAGGAGATTAGTGCACTGAGAGCACCATCAAAGAGTAATATACCAATCATCAGCAGAAATGAGCTGCTTAAAGCTGATGGTTTTGCCTTTGGCTTCCCAACAAGATTTGGAATGATGCCTGCTCAGTTTCAAACTTTCCTGGATTCAACAGGATCACTATGGGACGAAGAAGAACAACTGTTTGAAGGCAAGCCAGCTGGAATCTTCTTAAGCACAGGCTGCCAAGGTGGTGGACAAGAATCTACAGCGTAAGAATGATACTTTAAAAGGAAAACAATCATATAATTTTAAGTATATGATGATAAGAATTCCTAAGAATATGAAAATGAAATTATGAAATCTAACTACGATCTCATGCAGGCTCAGTGCTATCCCTCAGTTGGTTAATCGTGGAATGATTTTTGTTCCAATGGGGCATATATTGGATTCTGGTAAGTGTAGAATGAGGGACGTGATTGGTGGAAGTCCATTTGGTGCAGGAACATATGTTGATACTGATGGCTCAAGGGAGCCAAGTGGCATTGAGCTGAACCAAGCATTCCACCAAGGGAAGTATATTGCGACCATCACAAAGAAGCTTAAGAGAGATCCTAAATGTTCTTTGCATAAAATTGCTCGAAGGTAGACATCAACATGGTAGTGCTACAATCTTAGTTACTGTTTCTGTGCTACACTGGTACTGGATCTGATTGTTTTCTTTTCAAGGAGAGAATGTTTTGCATGGTGTTGTTGTACATTGGTATTTCACATTTGTTTCATGCTTTTCTGACCAAGTATCGTGAAGGGTTTGTGAAATTACAGTCTATAAACATGGGTAGAGACCAACCTCTCTAGTTTTTTGAAATTCTAATCATTGTTTCACTGATGTAGAATACAATACAAATCCTTAAATTTCAAGTATTACTCTGCCATAATTTATTATAATTTTAAATAATTTCAAGACGTAACCTTTACGAGTGGCACACCAAGTTTCTCGAACAAAAATCGAACTGATTGGCTATGTGAATTTGGGTTTTTCAAGCCGGATAAAGGAATCTTTATCTTTAACTCGTTAGTTTATATTTAAATTTAAATCTTTAAATATTAATATTTAAAAAAAAATTCTATAACTTCATTTTTATATGATACTTTTTTATTTTATTTCTATCCATTTTTTACTTATCAATCAATTTATTATTTTTTTTATTCATATCTTTTTAATATTTTCAATCAATTTAATTTTTTTTAATTTTCTTTAATCAAATCGATAAACATAAAATTAATTCCTTTTCTTTAATATTTTACATTAATCATAATAATAATTAATATTATTTTATTTCTAATTTATTTTTATTAAGTTTTATTATATTATATCTTTTAAATTTTATTATTCTTATTTATCGTATATCAAATTTTATTTTAATTAAATAATTATATTTTGAAAGATTAAAAAATTTAATAATTAAAAATTTTATTATTTTAAATTAATTAAATAAAAACTAACTTATTAAGTATTTTCTTATAAATTATATATTTTATATTTATTAATATTTTAAAATAATAACTTAAAAAATATTTAATTTATATAATAATAATAATAATAGTAATGTTATATATATTTTATATTAATTATTAAATGTTTCCTTCACATATATATTTAAATATAAATATAATAAATTAAAACATATAATTAATTAATAATAATAAAAAAAATTTAAAATTATAAATATTAATTTATATATAAAAAATACATATCAATTTATTATAATTATAATTATTTTTTTAGAAATAATATAAAACTGAGATGATCAAACGGAAAATGACTCAAAATCTAATGGAAACGTGATAAGAATTTAACTTTTAACTCCGACAAATATGAAAACAATTAAAAAAGGTAAGAGAAACAGAACTCGTACCCGTTTTGCCACGTTTTCATGCCTAGAAGCTTATACAATCACATTTGTAAAATACAACAATATTTCTGTAAAGTAAATTCACAAACAATATTAATTAGATACCACCCACACCCGTAAACGATCGATGTTTTTACTTATTATAAACAAAAGTTGTTATTGCGAAAAAAAGTTTTGAAATCACGGTTCATAACAAAGGGGACGAAGAAAACTAGCATGAATTCTAAACACAAAATCGACGATATATTTTGAAGAAAAAATCCATTTTTTTTTATTTTGTAAATCTAGCGTGAAATATATGTCGATTTCCAATTATATCATGTCATGGCATCATTTACAATTTGACAAACCTTTAATAGATATATAAAATGTAATGAATGGTAAAGTTCGTAAAATGGATTTTTTGGTGATAAACTATGCAATTAAGTCAATAAAATAAAATATATTTTATCTAATATTTTGAGATCTGCCCATGCCACATTATCGCATTGTTTAAAATTTGACAAGCCTCTAACGAAAATGTAAAATATGATGAAAATGAAAACATGAATTTAAAAATTTGCCAAATCAAAAATGTGTGAAGTGTGCAAATAAGTCAAACAAATTATATATTTCTTTTCTTATTAAAAATTTAATCAAAATTCATATTCTTATTTGATTATCCAGATTAATTAAAAACAAAAACATCAGTAAGAATACTAATTGAAGACTATTTTTCAGCTATAAGCATTAATAAAATTATTAATTAAATAAAGAACATTTATTTAAACATTTATTTTCTGAGTACTTAAATGGAATAACTTCCATAAAAGTTAAAAAAGTACTTGACTTAATTTTAATTTATAAAAAATTAATTAATTTTTATTTATATTTTTTAGTGTTCATATATAGATAAATTTATGAATGTTTTATAACGAGAACATCCACCTGTTAAATTCAATCTATAAATATGGCTTGCCCTTCCTGCCATTTCAGTCATCAACTGTTAACTGTTCATTTTTCATTCTGCTAAGAAAGGAGACTAACACAGCGAGAGGGGATAGAGAAGCAGCAAAGAGACATTGAACGATCATCAATGGCTGTCAAAGTTTATATTGTGTATGCTCGCCTTTTAACCTTTGTTGTCTTCATCAAGTCTTTCTTTTACATGTGTGTGTTTTAATTATAGCTAGTTAATCTTTATTCATACTTTTCCATACATTCATGAAGAATCATGATGCATGATGAAGGGTACTGCATGCGGAATTCTGTTCATTGGGTTTCTTTTAATTCTTTAACCGGTTATTAAATTTGAAGTATTTCAAATTTCTATTTCTTTGAAAATCTTGGAGTCTAACTTTCAAATATATGATGCATTCTTGCTCAGGCTCTATTTTTTCCTCTGTTCTGTACCGATACGATTGTTTGTTTGATCATTGGGGATGTTTAGAGATTTTCCTTAGGAGAGCCATGATGCCGGAATCTTGTACTTTTTTTTATTTTCCGAACTTGTAAGAAAACTTTATCGTTCTCTTCATGCATTTGGCTTCTGAAACATTCTACATCTCCAACATGTTCTATTTTTTATAATGAAAGCACATTTCAAAATTGTTATCCTTGTTTTAATTGGATATATATGATAAATGTATGCGCATATGTGTGTGTGTATTCTCCCATACCAGATGCAACAGAATTGGTATAATTGATATGAAGACTCTTTTTGCAGGTTTTTGCAGTTCATCTAAATTCTAATATGATGCTTACAATATGGAATAATTATTTCAGGAAATATTGGTTTGAAATCTGTTTCCCATTTACTGCAATAGAAATTGTTGGGTTGATGTGTTTTTTGTGCTTCTGAGTTAACATTCTAAATGCTGCTATAACAGTTAGTTAATTTCAGCAATAATGAATAACAGGGCTATCTGATGCTTTCGGATCCTTATTATCTGACCTCAAACCGTATCATGTGTGCCTCCATGGCATTGCCATGATGTTATTTGAGGTGTTTAACGCTTTGAATTGTGATACTTTCTTTTGGTTCGGCCATGATGTTTTGGTTAAGTACATTATTCTTTGAATGGCCTTCTATGTTAATTTTAATCTAAGTTCCATTTCCATGAAGAGCTCAGTTCTGTTATGCACTGAATAATTGAGCATGTTTCTAACAACTTCACTTACAAAACGAAAAATTTTCTACTCTTTCTGGCAGGTATTACTCAATGTATGGTAATGTTGAAAGACTAGCAAGTGAAATATCTCTCGGGCTTCAATCTGTGCAAGATGTTGAGGCCACAATGTGGCAGGTAGGTATCTTAGTTTCATTTATCACAATTCCTAATCCTGTCAATTCTATTTAGTGTTAGCATAAAATTGCAAACTGTAAGCAACTACAACTCCATAGCTACGCTTTATTCCTCTGTTCCTTTATTGTACAGATAAATTTTTTAAAAATAATCTGCATGTGTAACACGGATTTGAGTGTTTCTGCTTTAATATCATTGTTTCTGTCTTCTAACTGTCACAAAGTTAGATTCAAACTTTCAGTTGGCTTGGTTCCTTCTCTTTAACCATACTGCTCAATGGTCCCCTTATAAGAGGAGAGTCCATAGTCTTTTCTTTTCCAATAATTTCACATCGTTAGTTTTGCTATGTATTTTAGTGAACATTGGTTTAGGCCCAAAATCAATTTTTAATGCCCTGATGCTTGATGCAACCAAAAGATTCTGACTGACTTTTGAAAATTTCAATCATGTTCAAAGATTCAAAAGTCAAATTTTTAATGCTCTGATGCTTGATGAAACCAAAATATTTTGACTGATTCATTTGGACACACCTTTCAATCATGTCCAATGATTCAAAATATATTCTATCAAAATTTGAAACCAAGTCATGGAATCCCTATAAATCATAGTATGAATAAGACGTCCCAAATTTGTTCTTGCTAAATTTATGCAAAATCCCGTTTGACATTTTTTTTTTCGTGAGGGAAAGTACATATTTGGTTTTAACTTCCTATAGAAAAACAAGGTGTATTGGTGACTGACTTTATTTAACCTATGAGCAGGTACCTGAGACGCTGTCAATAGATGAGCTTTCCAGGCTGAAAGCACCAGCCAAGAGTGACGTACCAATCATTAACCAACTAAAACTGTGTGAGGCAGATGCGATTATCTTTGGCTTCCCAACAAGGTTTGGACTGATGGCTTCTCAGTTTAAGGCTTTCCTAGATTCTAATGAATTTCTATGGAAAGCGCAAATGCTTGCGCAAAAGCTTGCTGGAATCTTCTACAGCACCAGTTCCCAAGGTGATGGACAAGAGACGGCACCGTAAGAACCCTCTATCTCAAGTAGTTTCCTAATCAGTTCCTATGATGACAGAAATATTATATGTGATGTTATATATATGAGTAGAGCAACAAAACATTTTATGTATCTGTATATTGTGAAGCACATAACTTATGAAATGTCAACAATTCAAAGAATTTCACCCTTCTAACAACACTTCAAAAGGGTTAATTCTTTGGATAACTTGTAAGTTGTGTAATATGTTATCAATGATATATGTAGACTCAGATATTGAACAAATATCTACCATTCGTTATGCACTAATGAGATGATAAAATTGTCCACTCTATGACAGGCTTAGTGCTATAACTCATCTGGTTCATCATGGAATGATATTTGTTCCAATAGGATACACATTCGGTCCTGGCATGTTTGAGATGACCGAGCAGAAAGGTGGAGGTCCTTATGGTGCTGGAACTTACGCTGGTGATGAATCTAGAAAGCCAACTGAGCTTGAGTTGGAGCAAGCATTTCACCAAGGAAAATATTTTGCCAACATTGCAAAGAAGTTCAAGGAAGATATTCACCCAATTTTTACTCTACATAAAAGAGGATATTGAATTACATTCTCTGTGACTGCAATTTTATTTTCTCAGGAGCAAGTTCTCTGTTTTGAGTTTTATTTTTGTGTTAGACACTACACTGTTTAGTGATATTTGCTAATGTGAAGATTGTTAGTCTTTTCCTTCAATTTTAGGCTTAGAAAACACTAGTTATTTTGTACCCCTTTCATGAAGGTTAGTGCCAACAATTAAGCACATAATATACATTGAGACAAAACAAAAATTTCATAGTTTGAGGAAATTAAACTAATCTACGATATTTGTCCTAGCAGTTGAAAAGATACCTACTTATCAAACAAAGAAAAACTAAAATGAAAGTTATAGGCCCTTATGCTAATTTGGATATGTATCATTTCATCTCTACTGATATAGGTTATTGTTTATATATATTCTATTCAAACGTTTCCCTAAGGCAAACGAAGTGAGTGTATCAACCGGAAGAAGCAAAGCTAGTTTTATATGAAAAGGGCAAGCCTACTAATACCATGCAGCCAGCATAATCCTTTATGACATTCATTTACACATAATAGTGATGTCACATAATTCTTAACTTGATATCGATTCTAAGTGGTAGTATGTCTCTTTCATTATCTGCCTAATAAAAATGGCACCTTCTCCTTAAAAATCTTGCAGATTCATTTTGGTTAATTTCGTTATAAATTCCCTTCTGCATAGGTTCTCATCACATGTATCATGTACTTGCAAGTCCTTCTCAAACCTACAAATATCGCTGTTGTTTAATTTTTTTAATTTTCATACACTTAATTTTGAAAATAAAAAATAAAAAATCTTTGGAAAAACTAGGCACACACATCTGTATATAATTGAAACAATACTGATTAGACAGTCCATGCGACATAAGTCGGCAGCTGTCACAAAGAAGAGAAATATTCTGATACACATTGCTTTTCTTTACCTTTGATATGAAAAAAATCCAGTGTTATGTGATTCTCAAAGCTTTTTCATATTCTTGTCCATTTTTTCCCTTCCTATCATTGGTTTGTGTCCAATTTTCTACTTCTAGCTCTGCGGCATCCAATTCCACCGTTTCATAGCAAAAGTTGCCTACCCTCATATCTTTTCTCAACTAGCTAAACTAGCCACTCTCTTGAATTCCAGCAACAATTTTTCTCTCTTTTTTTTGTTTTCTCTTTTTCTAGATTCCAATGACGCCGTCCTTTTCAAACATGATGAAGTAGACCAGACATACACATGACTAGCTCAGAAAACTTGGAATGGAATCTACAGAAAAAGTTACTAGCGGCCTTGTAGTATAACTAGAGCATGTTTGGATTAGATTTCTTTTTTCTAACACTTTAGGTTTGATTGATGGAAAAGGAACTGATAGATTTACTGTTCAAGCATGTTTTGTAATCTACATTACAAATTGTGATTAAGTAAATCTCTTTATATTATCAACCAGATAGAAATTGTGATTAAACTTCACAAACTTCTCATGTATGCATGGTAGTTTCTGATTAGAACACAACATAAGATTATTTTACTCCTACACTATTTGCTCATTTTCACCAAGGAAACAAGTTATAAAATTTAAAAAGAATCACCTATTACAAATAACTTTATACCATTCTTTTTGTAATTTTTCTATAAAAAGAATCAATATTTTTGAGAAAATTCAAACAAAATATACCTTGAAATCACTTTTCATCTAACATATACAAATATGAAGTTTATTAATATAATCAATTATAGCAATAATTGATTATATCTACTGTCAATTATTGAAATAAGTTTTTCTCACAGTATTGATTAGATGAACTGATTGCTTCCTCTGCTCAAGTGCTTATATAAATGGTAAACATGATTAGAGTAGAGAAGTGAAAGTTAAGCAAATGTATGTGTCAAGTGTTGCAATGGATGCCATAAAAAGTTGAGTAAAGGGATAGGAATTATGGAATCTATAGAAAATTGATATAGGCCCAAATAATTTGAAGATTCTATTCCTCATCTCTTTTGGTCCATGTACTCTGGTATCTGTGAAATTCATTGATTAGCAATCATTCTTTAGCATTATGCGACAGAAATTATTAAAAACAATGAAACAATATTTCTTATATCAGCTAAAGAACAAAACATCTCCAAAATAATAAAAGAATACACTTATTATTATTGCTCATGAGTGGCATATTCACGAGAAAAGGTGCTACATACTAAAGAAGATGCCCTTCAAACAGTTAGAAAAACTGTATGTAATCTTCCAATTCTTTTCAATATAAATGTGCTCAATATACGGTTCATTATATATAATTATTACTCCACTCTAATGCCAGTGGAGAAGTATAAAGATGGTAACTTGTTAAGAAAACAGGTATTGCTGGTCCCCTCCCATGTCCCATGTCTCTTATGTTCACTTCTAACTTCTTCCAAACTATGTACCTTTGTGCCGAATACTTTCACAAAAACAAGGGAATAGTAGATTCCTCTCGTAATTATTTTACTTAAATTAATTAAATAAACTTGTGTTGATGATGAGATAACCCCTGAAAACACAGTTAAATCATGTACGACAGTTTCTCTAGTGAAGACAAATTTTTGAAGAAAGTATTTTAGACTTGAATAGAGTGTGGAGCCCCTAGACAACTAGCTTTGTTAACACAATAATGGCTAATGCTTAAGTGCTTTATGTTTGAATTAGTTTATGTTGTGATCTTGCTAGAGAAGTTTGAAAGTGAGATTTGGTAAAGTACTTTATGAGAAGATGGGGAAATTCTCCATGGCCCAAGACAAAATAGTTTATAATACTCTCTGGCCAATAGGGTCCAAGTCATAACAAGTGGCAAAGGTTTGAAGATATGCCAATTAGTAAGTTTATAATACTAAATATTATGTTTTTATAATATGCCTTTCTATTATGCCCTTGTGATTTTTGTTCCTGTTATTATGTCTCAATTTTTCTAATATAACACAGTGAAAAGAAGAATAGCATCATACCTTATCCCCAGCAACTTTTCCATACATTGTATTGAACCTAATGTGTATGTTTAAGAAAAAGAAAAGGAAAATCCTCTCTCAACCACCCCTTAATAATATAGTATGTATATTATGCATCAACCAAGAAATAGGTGAGTTATAGGGTTGGAAGGAAATATTTTTTTATTGGCAGTTTTAAAAAATTAAAAATTAAAAAAAAATACCCTTTAAACTTAAAAGTTAAATGTCATAACTTTAGTGACTGATTATCCTTTGAGAAGCGACTGTTTTTATCATCTCAAATCTCAAAGTTAGTGTTGTTTAAACAACCTTAAAATAATTTTTAATTTATTATCAAATAAAAAGTAATATTCTTCATCTCTCACTTAATACAATTTCATTTTTGAGAAAATAATTATTTTTCAAAAATAACACTCAAAAAACTAAAAACACCCTGATTTAAAGAAAAAAAACAGTAAAAAAATAATATTTTATAAATAAAGGAGTAAAGAAAATCCAAATATGTACTAACAATTATCCTGAAACGCAATCTAACTAGATCATAAATCATACAGTTTACGTGGCCATTGGATTTCTTGCATAATTTTATTCTTTTAGAAAAAGAAAAGTGGGAATAATGACATATGCAGACGTCATTCTAAATCTGGACCATCTCCAGAGCATTGTTGAAGATAAAAACATTTGTGGGTTTTCTCTTCTTTTTACATGTGCTTCCAATAGAAGCCCCTCTATGTGACCATTCATTACAAAGCACAAAAGCATGTGTGCAAGCATCTCCAAGATATATATATATATACATACATATATATATATATATATATATATATATATATATATATATAATTTATATATATGGAAAATGTAAACATGTAATTTGAACTCAAATTTGAAACAAAAAAACTGAAATGGGTAGAGTGGGCCACCCTCTGACTTCCACTTACATATTCTAAAGAAATAAACAAATAAAAAGTGAGATTTCCAATCAAATGACATATCCCACACTCACTCACTCTTCTATATCTCAATGATTCCTTCAAATTAGTTTTTTTTTTCTTTTTCTTCAACTAAAGAAGAAGTAGCTCCAACTCTATGCACAAAATAACAAGAAGAATTAACAAAAGCTCCTCTATCTTCCTCTAACAACAATTTTCTATCTTCCCTATATTCCGCAACACAATTCTTTGTAACTCCTAACCCACTCCTTGTGTGCTTACATAGTTATTGATTCAACTTGTAAATATATTTAGATATTGTGCTCCAATGGTCCCAAAAATTGGCCAAATTATACCTTACCCCTCTTGCATCATTCTTCATGTAGTTGGTCCACAATGACCCTCTTGTGAAGGGTCATTTCCCTTTCTTTCCTCTCTTTTCAACCCATTTTCCCTCCTCTCCCTCTATTAGCTAGAACTTTACATCATCTCAGAATAACTAATTAGCTATAACTTTACATACTTATGTGCCCTTCTCTCCTGTTTCTCTTTTCTTTCATCTTATCATTCCCAACTTGGCCAGGTTTCTTGATAAGACATGTTGTCCTAGTTGTTGAGGGTACTGCTTCCGTGCCACTTTTGTCACCCATTATTTAATTAGCTATCTGTAAGTTCCTCCAAATGTTGGTGTCCAATATTCAACTGTGGGTTCATGAGTCACAGGAAATGTACTAGAAACTGGCACCAGACATAGCCCTCGGCTTCTAAGATCTTGCTTTGGACCCTCAGATTCCTTCGATTTACCAGAACTCTGAAATATCAAAAACAAACAAAACAACATCATAAATTAACCCTTAAATTTGAAACAGATTATATCAGCATTAACAACACATAGTAGTTGTGCTGTGTGCACAAGAATGGATCCACTATTCACATTTTATGTCTACCTTCGTTTTCATAAACATTGAGAAAAATTAATAAGGGCTAAAGTAAAAATACTGCTATGCACTATCCTATCTATTACTCGGTAACTTATTCAAAACAAAGTCAAAAACTAAAGGATATAAGTTGATTTTGAGTTGCAGAAAAACTTCATAGATTTTACATTTTTATTTATTTTTTTATAAATATTTGTAGAGAATTTCATATACGCGGGATCTTAGTCGTCAATATAAGAATCAATAGAGGAATAGTATATTAAAATTCAATTCATAAAGAAACAAAATTTGAACATATGACGGAAGAAAATTGACGTAAAAAGATTCAGTTTCAATTTGGAGCTATTTTTAAGGTATAAATATACGTATAGTACCTGCTGATGCTGTGTGGGAACACCACTTTTCATATAAGGGGTGCTTAAAACCTATATAAAAAGGGAAAATGAATAAGATTGAAAATTTGGTAATTAAAAGTATAAGTTTCTGAGTAATCATGTATATTAATGGGAGTTTTGATGGGACTTACGGTGACTTGTTCATGGAGGAATTTGATATATTCAATGGCTTCAGAGAGCACTGATGCTGTATCAGTCTGACACACACACACACAACATTGCAAAAAGATTTTAAAACTTCAAATCAATAAACAACATTAGTACAATCACACTTGCCATCATCTTTTCTGCTTTCTTATATATCATAAATACTCACAAGAAATCATGGTCATCCACAAAAGATATTAGAAAAGAATAGATGATTTTATCAGAAGCTCACCTTTCCGAAAGGTGAAACCAATTGTTGGAGTGCAGTGATTCTGTCCCCCATCTTCTCTTTTCTCACCTAAGAACAACAGAAGAGGGTACACTACGGGTTCATATCCAATGTTTAAGGACTCAAAAACCGAAAAATATGAGGGAAAAGTATGTGATAAAGAATAAATAAAGAGAGAAAAAATAAAGATAAAAAAAGGTTAAAGCTAGCTTCCCGTCATGTTAAAAGGTTAGTTGCACTTATTGTACCTTAAAAGCTGGCAAAGGAGATGGGGTTTCGTTCCTGGGCCTTTTTGGTGCTGTTTCACTCCCACTTTTCTTCACCACACCCGAGTCCCTAACTTCAGATATATTCTGCAAAACCATGGTCAACAAAATATTATACCTCAATTGCAGCAGTGGTTTCTTTCAACCCTAATAAAATACAAACTTCATTATTTATGTGTTTAATATTTAACCCCGATAATACGACATTCTTTTCCCAGTAAATCTCTACTGGAAAATTTTCTAATCATTAATCAAAATAAAAACATGTCATACTTTTTATGTATACATTATTGTAGTTAAGTGTAAAAGACAAGAAAATTGTAAATAAGAGAATAATAAGACAAAAAGGTAGATAGATTTTTAGAGATTTGAAGTATATTAACGAATCATCATGTATCATGCTGTTATGATCTAACAGGATCCGCATAGTGATGAAGAATTTATACAGTTGGTATAAAAGTTTTAAGTTTAAACTTTGTTGATAGAACATAAAAGAAAAGCATAGTGTTATTTACATCTGTGTATGAAAATATGAAATGTAATACCTTCGATTGAACATCGAAATTGGATGGGGAGAAGGGGGATTGCAAAGAGGGGATGAAGCTGGATCGAGCATCCTTTATAGCAGGCTCAGAACTAGCGTTCCAAAAGGGAGCGTTGTTGGTGAAATGCAACTGGTTATTGGGTGGTTGCTTTGGTGGTGAAGCTCTCAAGAACTGAGGAACTTTTGACCAAGAAGGCACCAACTCCATGTTTGAGCTTAACCCATAGCTTGTTGCTGAGTAAGGAAAATTCATGGGACGATTCTCAAACGAATCACTACCACCTTGGTGGGGTTGTTGGTTATTGCTCTCTTGTCCCAAAAGTCCTTGTAATATTGAAGAAGGGTTGCCAACATAATCCATCTGAAAAGTACAAGGCAAACCTTGGCTTGTGACAGTGCTGTCCCCAGAGCTATATTGAGGACTGAACTGTGTCTGGTCCAAGGAGAAACCTCTCTTGAATTCATTGCTTGACGACTCCACAGAGAACAACTTTTCTGGCCTCCAATGAACTTGTTGATGATGAGACAACGCAATATTGTTACTCCCACTTTCTTGCTGAAAAGTGGTGCCTGATGAGCTCAAATTCTCTTGCAACATCGACCTGAAACTGCTCTCCGAACCCTTTTCACCTCGCCTACATCAATCAACACACAGAAGTTACAACTTAGCAAGGTTTTAAAAAAAGGGTTTGCAATCACGATTTCAGTCACAACATGAAGGTTTTCGGGGTCACCATGACTGCAATATGATCACAATCATAGCTGCATCTCGCAGTTGCTACAATATTTCACTCAATATTGAAGACTTAAAAGGAACTGCAGCAACTGTTACGGTAAACATGACTACAATTTAAAACCTTTAAAACAGTTCTTTTTTTCTTCAATATTATTCCATTCTGGTAAGGTATAATGAAAGAAGAGAAAGAAAAACAGAAAACGAAAGATCCAAAAACTTTTTTTTTTTTTTCTCTTTTTCATTTTTATGGGTACTACTTTTGAGTAATATTGTTGTAGAAGTCTTTGTCTTGACACAGACTACACTTACAGCTGCAAAGATGCTTGATTCCAGTCCATGGCTTGGGATGAGAGGCCCAAGCCCATCATGTGCAAGTTGGGGTGGTCATTGGTGGAATTTGTGGCCGATGAGTCATGATGTGGGTGAACTTGAAGTTGCTTCTGGTCATGGAAAACCACAGAGGAACCACCTGAGGCAGAGTTATCCATGGAAGAAGACCTTGCCATGTCATGCTGCCAAGCATAGTTTCCTATGTTGGTGAGACCAGAAGAAGAAGACTGCGTTTCCCCACTCTCAAACCTGACGTTTCTTGCTGATTCCCACCAGTTTCCACTCGCTTGAAACTGATCATCTGACATGGCTGAAACTTGTTATGGTTCAGCCTTCAAATAAACATGAAGTATTTGACGAAACTAAGATGGTATATAAGTCAGTTTGAGTTATTAGGGTGTGTGTTTGTGTAATCTTGGTGGAGCTGTGTGAAGTGTGAAGGAGTGAGAGTAATAGAAATGAATGAATGGAAAAGGGTTCGAAAGTTTGGAGTATTTATATTGGGAAGGGAAGGGAGAAAAATGGGTTTGGTGAGGAATGAGAACAGTGACAAACCAAGAGAAATATAGCTGACGCTCTTTGATGATTCAGGGGGTGATTAGACAGTAGAATTAAATTAAAGGTCATTTTAAAATCAGAATTTGGCTTATTCTTTATTATTATTACTTTCCACATTTTCTCCTTTTGCCGCATCAAAATATATTCTCTTTTTTTTTCGAGTTTAAATTTTAATACACCATTTGATGATTTTCGAGTTTAAATGGTTGAATAAGAAAGTGGATATAGATGTAGAAGTTAATAAAAATAGATAAGTTATAAGATAACTTTTTCATACTATAGGAAGCTACGTCATCATAAAACTAAAACTCAACAAATACAAAAACATCATTTAAAAATTAATAATGACAAAAAAATACTTTTAATTTTTTTACCAAATATATTAAAATGTATTATATTATCAAACTCATTCTCTTAAAACAATTTTTGGATCCTAGAATACGATTTTCCTAATTTCTCGTAACAAAAACTTAAATTTTTAAAATTTTGGTAAACAAAGCCATAAATTACATGATAATTATTTTCAATTTTGAAGTCCTCAAGAGTTTCAAAGGATTGAACGTGTAAAACATAGTAATGAATAAAGATAAGACTCGATACATGACTATAGTCAACGAAATTTAGAAGTCAATTTTCTAATTTCATCCATTAGTGGCAGTAACAGAGAATAAATTTATCCACGTTCTACGTAATTATAAAAGTGAAATTTGACTTTTTCATATGAAATGAGAAAATTGGTTTCAATTTATTTTTTAATGTATAAAAAATTTTAATTCATATCATTTTTATCAAGATTTTTTATATGATTTATTTATGATTTTTAAATCTCGTGATACTAATAAAAGATATGAGTGAAATGAGATTTTTATATACAATGTGTTATTGTTAAGGTCAATTATTATTTGTTTTAAAACTCTTGTATTATACTTAAAAAGAGGAATTAAAATAAAAAAATATATTTAAATTATTCTAAACTTCCACTCTCAAATCATAAAGACTCACGAATCTACTAAAACATTTACTAACATGAAAAATGAAGTTATTGTTCACAATTTTTACTCCAAAATTTATATAATTTATTTATAATTTTTAAATCACGTGGGACTAATAAAATATACTAGTGTAACTAGATTCTTATATAATAAAATATACTAGTGTAACTAGATTCTTATATCTAATATATAATATCATTAATGTCAATTTTAAACTCTTATCTTATTCTAAAAACACGTATTCATGAGTTAAAAGAAAAGAAAATGCAAGGCTCACGAATTTATCGAAACAAATTATTTGTTCATGATTTTCACTCCAAAATTTATTATAAATGATTTATTTTATTTTATCCATAATGATATTTATTTCATTTCATAATATATCTATTGATAGAAAAACACCATATACTTTTATTTCATTCCTATTTTTCAAATATTTTTTATTATTTTTGTAGTTTTTGAAAGTATCAAACAAAATGTTAATTGTTGAGTTTTTTTTATTGATTTCTAAATAAATTGTGGAAATAAAATATTATTTTACAATCTCACTTACCTTATAATTTTTTATTATTATTATTCACTTTCAAATAAGAAAAAGTGTATGTTCTACCCCTTTTCAATAAATCACACGACTTCTTCGGCATCCAGCATTTTCATTTTTAATATTTTATACTTTTATTCCACGTAAATTTTATTACTTAAATTAATCAATTCAAATGTAATTTTTTTTAAGTTTTATACATCATATAAAATTAATAAATGTATATACATTATTTTAACTTCAACATTTTATTTGCGTAATTTCCTTGTCAATTTTAAAGTAAAAGTCTTGTGTTTGTAATTTATTTCTGTCAATAAAAATATATCTATATTATCAATAAAAAACTATCATTTATCATAAACTTTTATAAAATATGTGATTCAACGTTTTTAAAAAGAAAATTATTATTATTATTATTATTATTATTATTATCATTATTATATATTAATTAGAATTTTTTTCTTTGATAAAAATGATATTATAAATTCTTTTCAAATATATCATTTTTAATAGTTTTAATATTAATATTTTTAATAAGTTCTCTCAATGCATTATCACTTCTAACATCTTATTTTATTTCTAGGTTGATTTTTAATATTTTTAAAATAAAACATCAATATTAAAAAGTCGTGGTATAAATTATCGAAATAAATATATAATATAGTTTATATGTGTTAAAAATATTTATTTATCGCATATTTAATTATAATATACAGTATAGATTTTATTTTCATAAAATAACATTGATTATATACATTGCAAGACTAAACTATTAGGTTTACTTAAATTTAAAATAGGCAAGTTTTAAATATTTAAAAATAAATTTATGTTTTCCACAGAGATATATCATGTATGTTATATTCCAAAAATGAAAAGAAAAAGAAAATACACAGCTTAAAAAAAATTGTATAAAAATTGAAAACGTGTTGGGACATGATTTTGAGGGGAAAGGGAAAACTGAAAAGTTCGAACCTTGTCCGTTTTCCAATTTTTTCACGATCCCCAATTTGCCGCTTCATTAAATAATATGGACTTTCAAATTCAGCATATTCATAAAATACTCACATGTGATTTTCTTTTTCCTCTATATTTATCAGTTCGTAAATTATTACTTAATTTCAATCAAAATAAATTAGATTAATTTTTTATTTTAATCTCACAACAAATGGATGACCAATTTTATAGGTTTTTATTTGAAACACATGCGCTAAAATTTCTTAGTATATTTTTTTATAAGTTTTTATAATTTTATTTTATGTTCTCTCTATTTTTTAAATATATTTATTTTTTATCCTCTACTAATTATATGTCATATATTATATATATATATATATATATATATATATATTTAAAATATCATATTATTTAAATATTAAAAAATATAATCTATTTTTTTAAAATATCAAATTTAATAAAAAAATATTTTTATAAACTCACGAGTTCATTGACTAAATCCCGTCTATTTCAACAAAAAATTTCAAAATTTTGGCTCAAGATTTTAATAGATTTAGTTAAACTTAATCCAACTCTATTTATATATTTTTTAATTTTAAAAATATTTTTTTTGGGAAGAGCGAGTAAGAGTATATAGATTTAAAAAACGTATAGAATTTTTTATAACTGTCATAAAAGTTTTAATTTAATTTAATATATCTCTTTATAAAAATATAAAATAACCTTTTTTTAAACTTGTGTTAATAAATAAATTACCAAAATTACAATATAAGTTTAATGTACTATAAGAAATTATGAAACATTTATGCAACTGTTGTGTCGGTTGTGTAGTATTAAACAGTTGTTTATCTCAATCAGAAATTTTAAGTTGAAAGTAGTTTATGTTAAATTAAATAAATAAAAATTTTAAAATTATAAGATAAAATAAAGTAACTTATACCCAAACTCATTTATTTTTTGTAATTATTTTGAAAAAACAAATTCTTCATTTCTAAGCGATCTTTTTCGAAAAAATATTCTTATCAAACCATTAAAAATAAGAGAATATATTCATTGATTCAACTACACAGCATTTATTAATTTATAATAAATATTATAAAACTTCTTTGAACGTGTATAGAGTAATAAATTATTTTATCTCAGGAATTTCGAAAGTTGGGTGAGAAGTGAAAAGGACACATTCTGTTCATCAATAGTTGAATATCATTTCAAATAGAATATGCCACTGATCAGTATTCTTCAATGTGCCACAATATTCAAATGTGAGTCAAGTTCGGACTAATCTCCCCCACATAGAAATTTTATACAAAGGGATCGTTTTTATATTTTGATAACTTTACTTGTTTTATTATTTTCTAACCATATTAAAACATAAGATTATTTAGGGTTTAGGGTTTGTCTTAAATTATAGTTATCGATTGTGTTAATATTTCAATCACCTTCACATTAAAGAAACCATTATGAAAATAGCTACATAGTCTACAAATAATTGACATGTTAATTGGAAGATGAAAATTAATTTTGATTTTTTTATTTTTCGTTTTAACACCCTTTAAACATTGGATTTACTTTTTTTCAAACACGAAACGATACGCATTGTCCTATAAGTAACATCATCGTATTCACTTTATAGTTTATAACGAAGCCTCGCAACTAGTTGTTATATAAAGAGAGAGAGGTTTTCTTTTCTTTGAATATTTATTGATGTTACGTTGTTCAATCCTTCTTTTCCAATATCTTAAGAATCTTTCTAAAATGAAAAAAATATTAGTCTTCACCACCTTCTCCATTTTTATCATCATCTTCCTTGTTTTGGAGTATAGTAGATTCATTTTAAAACAACAAATTTCTCTTCTTTTGGAGGTGACTGTGCTTTTCTATGGAGTCAAAATTTTAATATTATGTTGGATTATAAATATTTGATTTTGGGTTTAATATAAATTATGAAAAATCGTTCATCAAAATAAAATATATTTTTGCATTCAATAACAGTACACATCGTAACTATTGAATGGATGAGTGTAAATGATTTATCTTCTTCCATATCACTCTTTAGAGTAATTTGCACTGCAATAAATTGGTGATGATAATGTCAACCGCACCATAGTGGGAGAGATATCAAACTTCATGTACTCTTTGCATGCATAATCTTCATTTTTTAAACATTATTCATAGTTCTTTATCCATAGTTGAAGACTAATTTTTAAAGTATAAAAGACTCTCATAATGACATAATCTCTTCCAATAAAGTTATTTGCATATACAGATTTCGAAATTAATTAATCTCTAATCAATGTCAATTATATCACCTTTTATTAGTATTTTTATTACTTTTTATTTACTTATACTATTAGCCTTTCTAAACGTATTCATTTACTTTCTTGGATTCTAATTAGCACTATAGTTGGTAATTAATATAAATAGTTTTTATCTCTTTGCTTTTCTTTTTGGATATATAATTAATCTGAGAAACCTTCACATTTTAATCCCTGAATATATGTTACTAGCACACATTTTTAAATATCACTAAGTTATGTTAAGGACTGAAAATAACTTAAACATATAAAAATTAAAGAACTAAACAGTGTACATTTTTATCTTATTATGATATATAAATAGTCGCATCCATAATTTAATATATATATATATCATAATTTTTGCCATTTAAACATATAGTAAAAGAAAAATAATAATTGAGATGTTACACGAATCAACGCATTAACATTGCTTAAATTTAAAGACAAATTGATCTACAACTTTCAACAAGATATCGAAACTCAATACCACTAATAATGGGTCACGTAAATCATGAAGGTAGAATATGCATTTCTATATCTGGAATTTGGTTAACTTTAGGAAATTTATGTTTTTCCTCTTTCATTTGATGTTTTCCTGGGCTCTCTTCAGAGGAATAAGTTTTTCAAACCAAATAACATATTATTAACAAATAATAAGTGAATATAAAAAATAAAATTTTAAATATAGAAATGATAAAAATTATAAACTTTAAAGATTATTGACCTCTCATATTTCAAAATTTGTTGTCACTATCAGTGTTTAAGATCAGTTTTCTTGTCTAAGTTTTTTAGGATATCGAGGTTTTCGTTTTGAAATGTTTTTTTTTATTAGATTTTTTTTAATAGATCTCTTTTCTTTCTTAAATCTTGATTGTGAATCCTCGTTCATCTAAATTAGAGTTTAGATTATTGATTATTAGGTTGATCTTCGACGTTGTAATTATGATTGATAGGATCTTTATGCTTAATCATTGGTTTTATATATATGTCCATTTTAGGAATTGGTTTACTAATGTATCAGAGGACACAAAATTATTTAACCTAAATTAATTAGATCTTAGGTATGTAGTTTAGTTTTTTTTTTTAATCAATTGATGATTAATTAGTTAATTTCAATATCACAAAAAGTTTAATAAAAATAAATTAAATATTTAGAAATTGATCATAAGTTCGATTAAAAAAGCTACTATATATCTATTGACCACTTACAATAAATCAATTTCTCTCTTTCGAAGTTGAGTAATACGAGTTTTACTTCTTTTTTTCTTTTATGTTTGAACTATATGTGTATATCATATTTATCCTTTTTATTATTATTATTCTCATTACTAATTTACTATACTCGGTTCCACTTAATATAACGTTTTTAGAGAAAAATAAATAATTAACCAAATAGAGACAGTGATAATTAGTTTTTATTCTAGAAAACACCCACAAGTGTCTATTATGCTTTGTTAACATTTCATATCTTTAAAAAGTTTTATAAATGTTATTTACTTCAAAGTTAATTTTAGGATTTAAAATTAGTAGTTTCATAGTTCGGAGAGACTAAAATTAATTTTCTTTTAAGGGAGATAAAGAAATTAATTATTTTTATTATAAATTAAAATAAATAGTTTTAATTTTTTATAAATGAAATAAAAAAATGAAGACTAAAATTAAAATACATCTATTTTAAGGGAACAAAAACCATGTTTAAAATTATATAACTTTATACATGTTTTATTAAGACGAAGAAAATTAAACCACATTAAAAAAACAATATCAAATGGTTATAAGAATTCATAACTTATTTAATAAAATAAAAGGAGCGTGGTGTTTAGAAAATTAAGAATAAAAAACGACAATAATGGGGAATTTGAAAGCGAAGTGAGTCAACGAGTGGGCTCCACGCGGCGTGCACGCGTGCGAGAACAGATGGGTCCCATTTGTATCCATTGTAGGTGTAGGGTGTTTTGTTTTCATGAGAGTCAGAGCCCAGAAAGTGACACATTTTTAATATTCCTCCGTCCTAATCATTTGCCCAACCCTACCTACCTTCACACTCTCTTCTCAAACCACACACATTAACTTGTTAAAACAAAACTATTATGATTTAAATTGAATTGGTTTATTATATTTTATAATATTATTTATTAAATATATATATATATATCAAATTATAATATATCTGAAATTACCAAGTTATTAGATGAGTGATTAAGACACCCTTAAACTAAGACAACTCTGGTTCAAAGCTAGTAACATAGCATGCAGGACAACAGTTACCAGATTCAGGGTCACACAGGCTCTTGAAAAATCCCATTTGAGATTTGGCACACCACAGGTTCATTAATTAATTGCATCATTGTTCAATGAGTGGACATGGTTGACAAGTGGGGAGGGTCAAACAAAGACATCACATGTGTGCCTATAGACTTATGTGACATATAATATGCCAATTTGACAATGGGTGCACTCAGATTACATTAATCTCTAGATATTTGCTTAAAGTTTTTGTTGACTAGCATACTTATAATACTCATCCAACAATTTGAAACCAACACACTTTATTCATGTTCATATTCAAAATGGATTCAAAATGAGACTAAAAGTCTATTCATGAACAATTTTATTTTCTCACTCAAAATTTGTATTTTGAAAATTTGTTGGACATGTTGGTTAGTATTTTTACATACTTTATTCTTGGATTGAATTTAGTGGAAAGGATTAATCTCTCACAACCTTACATATCAAAGTTTGAATTGATGAAGATGTATATACGGATAGGGCGTTCGCGGTTTTTTATCAAATAAAATTGCATGCAAAAAAATATACCTGAAAACAACAAAATAAATATTTCCTCAATAAATTATTTTAGCAAAATATTCTATTTTAATCTTTGAAAGTGTATGCCATTGCCAATTTTAGGATAATATATATGAAGAAAACTCTGAATAGACTTTTAGTAGAAGGAAAATTTTTAATTTACCAGGGAGAGTATATTTTTTTATATATTGATTTACATTTAAAAAATAACATTCCAATTTCTATTTTTTTTTCAAAACTAGTTTTTTTTTGGTCAAGTTTCTCAGGAAAATATTTCCATAGAGGTGATGAGAATCTAGCATTCCTGAATTAAAGTAAAATCTTCATTGAAAAGGAATCATATTACTTTTACTAAATCATTTAATATAAGAATAAATTGAAAATTTTAGTAAAAGCAACGCAATACTCTCTTGTTAAAAAAACGTATTTAAAAATATTCTTAATAATATATTTAATAAACTAAACACAATTTAATTATTCTATAAATTATTCCTAGAATTCAGGGTTTCATTATGATTTTCAAATATGAAAAAAATTATTTGGTATACTACACATTTTTAATCATTTTCTTTCATACTCATAATTTGTTTCATATACATGTTCTTGCATATTATCATTATTATTAATATGTAATTTATCCCCGATGTAGATAAATTAAATTAAATAAAAAATAATAATCATAATAATATACAAATATTAATTTACATTTTAATAATAACATATTGATATCTCTTTGAAATGAATGCATGTAAAGATAAAAACTTGTCTCAAATTTAAAAGTGAATTTAAAACCTTCATTACTTTGAATGATGTAATAGATGGTTGTGGCTTCGCAATAATGGGTTGAATTTGAGTAAACTGGGGTGCCTAACTGGATCCACTGTGATAAAATCTGTGGAAGGTCGTCCTTATTGGGAGCCAACACATTGCTTATGCTGTAACGTGGAAGTCACGATGATGGTAAATAGGGCTAACATATCATTAACAGAATGATAATGGCTCCACTTAATCACTCAAATAATGCCAAAACAAGACAACAAAACAATCTCGGACGAATCGACTAATTCCCTCACTGCATGCATGCTTCTTCCAACCCTAATGCTGTTGCTATTTCCATATACTCTTTCCTCTGTCTATAGCAATCATTAACAGCTTCATATTCATTTTTTCTCTTTCAAGAACCTAAACTCATTAGAGATCATATTCACATGATTTTCTTTTTTCAAAGTGACAGTTTTAGTGAAATATGATATCAGTATAGATTATTCATCCATTAATTAATCCCATTAAAAGTACTGAATAATATGCATATATATACATATACAATACAATAGTATAGCCATTATATTCTCTCCCTGTATTAATTAATCAAGAGCAAAATAAACAGGTAAAAATAATAAAAAATGTTAATTTATATGAATGATATAAGAGAGAGGAAAAAAGAATGGAGAAATATGAGGTCAGAATGGAGTAAGCTTGAGGTGTGCAAAGTGAGAAAGAGATGAAAAGAGAAAGGAGGGTAAGACATGTGTGAAGGAAGACACAAAGTAGTGTGTGATGACCTTCCCACATGAGTGTGATCATATAAGAGAGAGGAGGGAAGGAGGGGGACAAAGCCACACGAGTGAGTGAAGAATTCAAAAACAAAATGTGAAGTACAAACCCAACGATTTTGGATTCTCTCTCTTTAGTGAAAGCACGAACAAATTAAAACAAGCAAAAAAATATGAGAGTGGAAGAAGATTAAGACAAGAAGCTAAGTTTGATTGGTTGAGGTCCAAATGTTCAATGGTCCATGTGTTTTTGTTAAATCCGGCAACGTGTTTGACTTGTTTGTTGCCATGTCATGTCCAACATACATATTTTAAGTTTTCCCCTTTGAATTTTGCAAAGTCAGCCACAAGATTAACATGGGGTAAGTAAGATAGATTGAAATTAATATAAAGTAAAGATGGAATTGACGCACAGTATCTTGCACGCCAGAGACTTTTCATGTTTACTTTCTCTAATTAAACATCATCATCATCATCATCAAACTGTCTATGTTAACTAGATTAACAATTGGTTAAGGAAACCACTAATTTGGACACACATGTGCTTTGGTTAATAATTTTTTAAGTGTTGACTAATTGGGGGTTAAGTTGTTTCAAGTTTTAGTGTTGTGTGCCAGATATTTTCACGGAAATGGAAGCCATTAAGTGTAGGTTGATGTGATAGAATCTTTGTAGTAGTGCTGTTCCTATGGGTCATGATCTCTCATTGTTTGATAAACGTTTAGTCATAACATAAGTCAACAAAAAATATTGTACCATAGTACTAACGATTTTGCATAATTCAAGTCACATTATTTCAGTGTTTGACTAACGTTCAGGCGAAGCTTCGCGAGCAAAATGGGTGGCCAACAATCAAAGCCCTTGCCTTGATCAGTAAAATATAACAACTTTACTGATGCAAACCTACCATTTTATTTGCCCGTATCTAGTTAAAAAAAATTATGATATTTCGTTAAATATAAAATCGTATATTAGGTTCATTTACACCATGTAGATTTACAACAGTTATAAGAAGAATTCATGTACAATATCTATAATTATAACATGTTTACAATATTGTATTTTCTACATCAATTAGTCAATCTAGAAAATTTCTCACTTTTTACACCACTCATATTTACCTCAATTAGTAAATTAATATAAAATTATCACAATAATTGACGTTATTATGTAAAAAATTCTCCATTTTCTTGGTGGAATCTTACGTATAGAATGTTAGAATTAATAAAGGTCAAAATCTCTATTTATCATAGTAAAATAAATAAGTATTTTAATTTTTTAAAATAAAATAATAAACAAACATACATTATTACCAATTTCATATATTAATAATTTCATATTTAATATATCTTATAACTTGGGTTAAAATCATGGTTGACTTTAGCGTTAAAATACTTTTTTCTCAACAACTTCATTCGGAAGTGTTACAATAACTCGGAAATTTAACAGACTTCAAAACATTTCAAATAAGTCAACGTCCACTTCAAACACGTCAACAACTGAGATTTCTCACCTCTGAACCATCAATAAAGTTGAATTTTTTTAGTAATAATAATGTTATTCGAATAATTTGATTCGCATTATCATTTTCTAACATGTTTTATATTCTATCATATTCATTTTATTTTATATTTCATTATTCAGTCTACAAATATTCTCTCCTTTTCATGTTCAATTATAATAATATAAATATTCTATTTTAAAGCTTTTTATTTATAAATGTTTTATTTTAAAGCTCTCATCTTTCGTGATTTTATTTCTAAAACACGTTTCAGTAGTTGAGTGAAAAGAATATATATATATATATATATATATATATATAAATGATAGGAAACTTATAACTATACTAAAATATATTAATTTCTTATATAAAAACTCATTTTGAAAATAATAATTATATTCATTAATATTTTATAATATTAATATATTTTCAGTCAATATTGTACCTTTTATTTTGAGAAAGATTTTTGTCCAAAAATTACTAGAATTATTTTTTATATCTCATTAGAAATTTTAAAATATTAAACTCAATTTTACAAAACCAGCTTAATAAAAATGATTATACTTATTTATATACCTTTAATTTATATATTTTTAATTGATGTGAAATTTTAATTTTTTTTGAAAAATATTTTTTTCATATCCAAGCATTATTAAAACAACTTTGATAATATATTAAAAATATAAAATAACGAGCTTAATTCTATAAAACCAATAACTTCATATATATTATAATATTATTATTATTATATTAAGACCTTAGGAAAAAATGATGTGAAGATTAATTTAGGATGATTTATAAAAATGATGAGATACGTTGAATATTATATGATTATGTTGGTTATTCACCCACCAAGGATTGAAATATTTTGGAATAAAATGGTGTCTCACCAATCTCATACTTTTCCTACAAGAAACCAACTAAAAATTCCACTACCCGCATCTGGACAGCCGCACACCTATAAACTATTTGTTTACTTTGAAAAAGCTGCAGCCTCACCAAAAGGTACTTTGGCTTCTATGGATATATTTTTTTGAAAACTATATAATACATATTAATCCCTCAACTAATAAACTTCTCGTTAAAGCCCGAAAATAATGAATTGAGTTGTAGACCTTGCAAATAATGAATCCATCCTTTTTTAAAAGCCTAATGAATCCATTTTTAGAAGGTTTGAATTTCGATGTTATATATGATTATTTTTTTAGTCAAGTAAAATTTATTTTTCATAAAATGTTTCACATATTATCAATTCACCCTAAAATATGGACTTCACATATCCTCATTAGACCTTATTTATATAAACAAACACCCTAAGTTTTTAATCTCAACGTTTTTTGGTTAAAATTTTGAAAATCATGTTTAATCTTTGTTACCTTTACGAACCCTTCACGCGCAAATGCAATTTTTGTTTTTGAGTATTGGAAATTTTGTTGCGTCAAATTTGGATTTGTCGCATGTGCTACTCAGGTGACCGTCTCTCTTTTCATTGACTTTGCTTGATTCTTTGATTTCAACCATTAAGAAAACATAGCGTCTAAGCTAGCTAGGATGATGAGTATGATTATGGTGGTCATCACATAAGGAAAGAATAAAGTAAAAAAGTTGATTCAATAATTTTGAATTGGTAAAAGAATCCGATTTACAATAAATGAAAACATTTGAATGCATACAAATATTTTTCTTCAAAAAGTAGTAGCGTAGTAAATAAGAATGAAACTCGTATCTTACTAGACCATAAATTCAAAATTAGGGTTTTGAAGCAAAACAAAGACCTTATCAGTGGACTATCTAAAGAGATGAATTTTAAATGCTGAGACCGTTTTAGTTTTGTTGATAATAATAAAAGAATGAAGAATTTGAGTAGTAAGTTAGTGGCGTGTGAGGAGGGTAAGTGTGAGTTTTGTCCTCCTCCATCCTTTGGTGGGGTGGAGTTGACATGGATCTTGACCCTCTTTGGTGAAACATTCCTTGGACTCATTATTTGGCCCGCACTTATCTCACAAACTTTGGTTTTAAAATCCTACAATATTCGAGGACTCCCTTTGAAAACTGTTCCTTGCGTTGTCGTTTTCTGCCCTTATATTATTCCCCTCTCTTTTCTCACAAAACGTTTCTTCTAATTCTATTCTTTCCTTCGTTGCTTTTTCTACACCTCTCTGATTCTTATAACATTAAATAATATCCTTTTACTAATCACTTTTCTAATTAATTCATCTTGTAATTAGTGAATTAAGATTGATCTAATTAACAATGATTAGAGGATGCCACAAAAGGATATTGAGTGTAGATGGTTAGTTTATAAGGCAACAGTGCACAGCATGACCTCACATATACATCATTATTTTACAAAAGAGTATATATACCAAAAATAGTACTTGGTTAATTTTCCCACCAAGTATGAACACTGAATTTTGTGAAAATAGATAAAGGCAATGACCGTAGGACCATACAATTCTAAGTCATGATGAAACTATGAAGAAAAACACATGGACCTGCCTCTTGCATTCTTTTCATTTCCTCACTTGTCATTATTCAAAAACTGGGCTCTAATCTTATGCCTGTTTAACACAATCTCTCTAATTCATTTCACTTCTTTATTTTGTAATTTTAAACGGATGCATAACATAAATGATTCATATTTTTACTCTTTTAAGATTTTAATAAGGTGGTACTAAACATTGTCCAATAATATGATAAATTCAAATCTGGTTTAAGTAACAAGTGAATAATCCTATGACTCAAGTAATGATGATGTGAGCACTTTTAGGAACAAGTATACGGTTTTCTTATCCTAGGCCCACTAAGAGGTACAAGAATAGGGTGCGCCTACTGCTTTTTGGGAACATTGGGCTACAAAGTAAGCCCAAAATTAATTTCAAAATTGAATCCAGACGAAGTAAAGAAGGAACGGAACTCAGCTGTACAAAAGTTTCTAAAAATCATTTTTTTAATATATTTACCATAATACTTATAGAAAGGATGGCAGTCCGCCATGATACGACGGAGCGAATGAGTGTTTTCAACGAACTACTCTGCTTTGCCTTTGGGTTGTCGGCAAGTCTGTTAATATGTGGGATGGGAGGGGACGGACGAGCTCCCAGTCGGCTGTTTAATAAAAAATAAATTTTTATTATAATAAAATTAATTATAAAGATAATATATAAAGTTAAAAAGTTTTAAAAGAGAATTAAAAAATTTTTTCTTCTACAAAAAATATTCTTCTTACTTAAATATAACTTTCTCTCCTATTCTCCTTGTTCATCCTAAGGACTCGATTATTTTTATCCTTATGACTTGAATTAAAGGTGTAAAAATTACTCAATCAAGAATAATGTAAAGTTTTATCAAATAAAAAAGATATAAGTATTTTTCAATATAAAAAATATAAATTTTATAAGTTTTAACGTTATATATATATATATATATATATATATTTGTTATTATTTATTATTATGTAAATTTTATTATTGTTCTAAATTATAATTTCTTAAAACACTGTATTGATTTATATTATTAAATTTAATTATTGACAAATAAATAATAATTTTATTATTAAATTTATTAAAATTTTTATTTTAAAAAATAAAATATTTTTTCTAAATTATGATGGGGCAGTATCGTCACTCAACTAACCCGCCCTTGACAAGACAAGTCAAAGTCTACATATCATCGTGACTATAACTGAGTTAATCGCTTTCATCCACTTTTAATAGGTCAAAGGTGGGAGGGACCAAAATGAGACAGACCGACCCGCTTTCCCATCTCTACTGGAAAATTGTAAGAAATTTAATAGATTATTTTTGGTACATGTGCAAAATGAATTCATCAGTGTAATTTGACTACTGTGAAGAAGCGAGAAATTCAACGCGCAAGATTTATATCGTTTTCACTTATTAATTATTCATTTTATTTATATATTTGTAAAATTTTTATCTTTTAATCTTTTATTAATAATATATCTTTTTTAATCTCTCCTTCTAGTATTTTTAAAATATTATATGTTGTATATTTTAAATATAATGATTAAATAAAATAATAATTTTAAAATAATAATTTTTTATATTTTAAAGATATTTTAATTTAAAAAGATAATTCAATTTTTTAAAAATACACTTTACTTAAATTATCATCATCTCTATAAATAGTCTCTACCATAATAGATAATACGATTTTTTTCTTTTTAATATTTTTATTTTGGGTTCAACATATATATATATATATATATATATATATATATATATATATATGATTTACCCAAATTTCCACAAAAATATGGTTTGATATGAATATTTTAACGTGTAGAAATTTTTTAAAAATTTATCACGTTCAACTAATTCATATTTTATATTTATATTATCATAAGTTATCTTAATATATAAGATCTTAATATTGATAAAATCATTAATATTTTACTATTACTTAAATTTTAACGAATCAATGTAAAATAATTGTTTTCAATTGTGTTACAATGTAAATTATTAGTTTAAAATGGATTAGCAAAAATTATATATGAATATTGTCTGCTTTCGTATTGTTATTTTCTTAAACATCTTATTTTTATCTTTATATTAGAGAAAACCTTAAACTGAACCTGTAGAAAAAAATTTTAAAAAATTGTCACATTCAACTAATTTATATTTATATATTATCATACGTTATACCTTATCTTAACATGATATTAATATTGATAGAATCATTAATATTTTATTATTATTTAAATTTTAAAATATTTTAAAGATATTTTAGTTTAAAAGGAAAATTCAATTTTAAAATAATCACGTTTTACTTAAATTATCATCTCTATAAATAATCTCCATTATCATAAATTTACAAATAACTCAAATATTTCTAATTACTTACCTCTTATCCTTATTCTTCCATTCTCACCTTATTCTCTTTAAAGTTTAAATATATTTTCGGAAGGAAATTTGAATTCAAAATCTTGGAAAAACTTTGACTTTGTAACGAGGTAAGTGAGATGATGTTATTGATTATAAAGTTTTAATGTTATTATTTTTAATTTTGAAGTTTTATTCAAAATTTTATGATACCTTTTAACGTAAGATAGTTTATAGTTTATTTAAATTCTCATGTTTTATTTTTATTTTTTAATTTAGGTTCAACTTTTTTATATAACTTTTTTTAATCATTCAAAGAATATTTGTAAATTGATTGTTGTTGTTTGATGTGAATATTTAAGAATTTATAAAACTATGGTGAATTTTTAATAATTATACAAAATAGAAACGAAATATTTTAGTAGAAGAAAATATTTGCCTTAAAATAAGACTTTATTTTATTTTATTTTGGATTCTATATAATTATTTTTAATCATTAAACTCTCTCCCAAAATAACTGTTTGGCATGAATATTTTAACTTTCATAAAATTTATAATAATAAACGGTTATATAATGTTTTTCTGTTTTAATAATTAAATAATATAAAATAACATTTTTTTTAATGGCTACATTTGCTTTTATCATCCAACAATAATTTATCTCTCTATCCCAAAATGATGGTTTAATGAGAATATTTTGGCATTCATAAAATCATAATACCTTTTCAAAAATTCGATAATAGATGTGATCTCAATATTATTATTATTTAAAAAAATATTTAACTTTTTTTATTAGATGACTCCCTTCTTATTTCAATAATCGAATAATATAAAATAATATATTTTAAATATATTTATTTTGAGCTCAATTATATATATATATATATATATATATATATATATATATATATATATATATATATCACTACAAGAAAATCGCGTATTACCGACGGATATTTATCGACGAATTTGTATCCGATCGGAAAATAATTATTACCGACGGATATAAAGTATTTGTGGAATTTGATCTTACCGACGGATATATCCGTCGGTAAAATAATAATTAGTTACCGACGGATATATCCGTCGATAAATCCGTCGTAATTATCAGATGAATTTACCGACGGATATATCCGTCGATAAATTAATAATTAATTACCGACGGATATATCCATCGGTAAATTCATCTGTAAATTATCGACGGATATTTCCGTCGGTAAATTATCAATAGTAAATATTCAACTAATTAAAAAATTAATATTTTTTATTTAATAATTTCATTTAATCATAAGTAGATTAATTTATAATAATTTCTTAAATTAAATAATTTTAAAAAATAAATATTTAATTATATATAAATATATAAAAATATATAAAAACATATAAAAATATTTAATTGTATATAAATATATATATATATATATATATATATACATATATATATATATATATAGAAATATATATATAAATATATAAAAATATAAATATATAAATATAAAAAAATATAAAAATATAAAAATATAAAAATATAAAAATATAAAAATATAAATATATAAATATATAAATATATAAATATATAAATATATAAATATATAAATATATAAATATATAAATATATAAATATATAAATATATAAATATATAAATATATAAATATATAAATATATAAATATATAAATATATAAATATATAAATATATAAATATATAAATATATAAATATATAAATATATAAATATATAAATATATAAATATATAAATATATAAATATATAAATATAATATATATATATTATCATTCAAATATTAATTTACCTCTATTTTCTAAAAAAAGTTACTGTTTAATTAATACAATTACTGTGATATTCGTAAAGCTATAATAGCTTTTTAATAATTATATATATAAAAAATCCAAACACAAATAACACATTATGATTAGAGAAAATATTCATGTTTGTTTGCTATGAGAGTGTTGGTGAGTGTTTATCTATTTCAATAATTAAATAATATAATTTCTTTTTCTTTTTAATATTTTAATTTTGGGTTCAACATATTTTATATATATATATATATATATATATATATATATATATAATTATAATTCATGATTTACCTAAATTTCTATCAAATGATGGTTTGATGTGAATATTTTAACATTAATAAAATTTTAATAGTTTTTTTTAATAATTTCACAGACTAAAAAAATAAACACACAAATAAATTTTAGAAAGGGGAAATAAAATATTTATCTTTATCTACTATGAGACGACACTAG